ATATTTTGTGTCTGGCCGTGGTTCAAATAAAATTTGCTTTTTGAAAAAATAGCAGCGCATAAAAAACTAAAAAAAGTGCCACCACAAGAAACTAATTTGAGTACTGTTGTTGCAATGTGTTTTTAGTGTTTTCGTGGCAATGGTTAAAAAGCCAGTCACCAGAAATCCATCAACCTCACGATCGTTTAGTGCTTAATAATTAACTTGATTAACTATAGTAAGATTATATCATTATCTTCAACACCCTTGCAATATAACAATCTGTTAATCATCAATACAGAATTCAAGGACTACGCACAATACATAATTCAAACTTTCTCGACAAGTTAAAAAATACTCCTTCTATTTTAAATTATAAGACATTTTTAAATAAATCTTTATGTATCAATAAAGCTTATTAAATATATTTTATAACTTTATTTTTTAAGATAAAAATATAAAATTTTAAAAATATCTTTTGTTTAATATTTTATTAATAAAAGATTATTGAAGAAATAAAATATATAGTAAGAATAATATTTAAAAATATCATTAATAAATTTTTATTTTTTTAAAGTGTCTTAAATTTAAGATGTTAATTTTTTTAAAAAATATTTTATAATTTAAGATAGAGATAATAATATATATTGCATGTAATTTTGAAAGACATGGGTGTACGAACTTGTAAAGACAAAATTATGTCATTCACAGATATTAAAAACGATTCTCACAGTGATGTGAACAGTTGTGTGTGGATTGGGTAGGTATGATGTCAAAACACCATTGCAAGACCACCATTGGATCGGCCATATTCACGGAACCTCCTACTATATATATGAGGAGACGCACGACACCAGTTTGTACCCACACTTGAAGAATGAGACTCACATGGTCGTGATAAGGATGAGTAGTATTTAATTAAGAAATTTGAATCGGACTGATTATTGAATATTGATGTTGATCACACGATCAATTTGTATCACTATGTGGTAATAAAGCTGATTATTGATATGATACCGTACAGGTCGTAAAATGGATGACATCAAGGTTTGTCCGATATTATCACAGTATATTCGAAATAGATAGAACACAATTAAAATAGATAATTACTTTTCACATTGATTATTCTAAAACTGGTGTTAAAAGTCAGTGACTTTCTACTGTCTGCAAAATCAATCCAGAGCTACAGTAAAAATCAATTTTTAACAATTGCCAAAGGCTCCTTAAAAAAAAAAAGAAAAGAAAAGAAAAGAAAAGAAAAAAAAAGAGACCTGTGTCAGTGATATTTTCCCAACCAAATGACCCTAAGTAAACTTTAAAGGGTTAAAAAAAAAAAAGAAAAGAAAACTGTGTCAGTGACCTTTTTTACCTCGGAAGTGTTGTTTATACACTTTTTTGTTGGAATCAAGTGCTCCTTCTGTAGTATTGTTGGTGTCAATTTATATTTTAATTATTATCATATTTGTTATTAAAGAAAATTAACATAAAAATTCAAATTTTTTTTTCAATTTATAATTCATGAGTTGGAATGTTGTTGAAAAATATTATGACATAAATAAATAATTTTACATAAATATATAATGTTAAAAAAATGTGAATAGAGTGGCATTAGTACAAAAAATATATGATGGAAGCAACATTGTTTTAATTCAATTAGCTTATGAACAATATTGTTATGATGAGTAATTTATGGATGACGCTTGCTCTGGTGAGAATATTTTAAGAGTAATATTACATCTTAATTTAAATTTAAAATATATGGATAACTTGTCTGCTCAGTAGATGTATTGAACCTTTTCCAATCCCCAAATATGACAAAGTGAACATCACGCTTCTTTGTCAAGGCAAAAAGAAGAAAACGGAATTGATCGAGCCTAACAGCAATTGTACTGTAAGTATTGTTTGTTTGTTTGTTTTGACAGGTTCATCATTCATGAAATCATGAAGTAATTTTCCTCTCCTAGTGTTTCTTGTGAGAGCTTTTCTCTTTCCATTTGTAATTATTTTTTATGCCCTTTGTTCTAGCACCTCTCTCGTCCGCTTTTGCCATGAGAGAGACATGTAATCAGTAACAAATCCAGGAACTAATAAAGGGGGGGGGGGACTTGAAAATATAACACGAAGTGAAGGGGCCAAAATCTATTTTAATGTTTCTTGCAAATAAGACTTAATTTTTTTCAAAGAGTGATTGTCGATGGGGGGCAATGGCCCCCCTTGCTCCCCTCTAGATTCGTCCTTGCATCCAGTGTGAGTGGTTGGTTGGTTGGTTTTTTATCTCTTTTTGTTTATGTGAATTATTTCTAGCTTCGATCTAAATTGCAGAAAAGGGTATTGGGATTCAATTGGTGTTCACAAGGCATAGGTTGTCTATCCAAATGAATGCTAATTTATGCAATGGTTAATTGTCAGCTTTGTAACTTCTTGCAAGCTAAAAGGTATAATGTTTTTTTAGTACGAATATTGATAATTTGGGTTTGTTGTTGAGGACTTCAACTTAGACTTCTCAATTTGATAGATAATGATTTGCATTAGAAATGATGGTGTTTTTTTTTTCTTTTCTTTTTTTGGTGATGCTAGCAGCTAGTTTATTATCACTGTTAGTGAGTTTGATTCTCTTTACATGAAATCTTATGCGTGGAGGCGATGAGTCTACTATCTAAATAACGGTTATTGTTTACATAAAAATAAAATCATTAGAATGATTCAATGAATCACATTCTTATTTTTTGATGCAACTTTTAATTTCTTAAAGTTTTTACAATAATGATGATATTTCTTATATTCTAGTTCTATTATAAGACTCGTGATGGTTTTGTGGTGCAATTTTTTTTTCTTTCTTTATGTTGTTTTGTATCGAGTTCAGGAGTTTTTTTTGTTGTTTTATTTCTTTTTTTTATTTTTTTTTTATTTTTTTGGTAGTCTTTGTAAACCCTTCAGTTGTCAATCATGTTTCATTTTCTTCGGAAAAAAATAAATTGTTTGTTTTGAGGCCCCTTTCTTTTACGGAAGAGAACAAATGCGTGAGTAAAAGGGCTGAGGTTCAAGATATTTGTGGGAGCAAAATAATATCCCAAGCTTGACATAGATTTTTTTTATAAGGGTTAAATATGGACCTTTTATATTATAAAAGTTATAACAATAACTCAAACTTTTCATAATCCATGCAAGTGACATTGAATCAATGTTCCGTGTCTAGGACTTTGAGTTTGATTGCCCCGTTTTCCCGAGACAACAAAATGATGAAGCTCATAGACCAACGAAATTTTTGAATGGTACGAGAAGGACAACGATGCTTTTTGGATAAAAATAAAAATAAAAAACAGGACAACGATGCTTTGCAAATAAGGATTTACCAATCAAGTACCTACAGGAATACCAACAATAAGATCGCCAAGTATGATTAGATTATTCAGTTCAAAATTTAAATCTGGTAAACACACTGACCTTAAAGTGTAAAAAAGTTTGTACAAGTCCTATTAATATAATTCTCCATTAAAAAAAAAAAATCATGCGAGCACGAAGAGAAAGGAAAAAGAACACAATCTTAATATCGTGTACTAGACAAGAGATCAATCATTTCAGTCAATACAGAATTCACTCTTCCTTGGCGCCGTTGCTGCATAAGATAATTTATAGATTATAGATATTTGTGTATAGAAATATAGCAAAGCTCAAGATATTTTATCAACCAAAAGGGGGGGGGGGGGAAAATCCATTAAATCCCATCTAATAGGAAATGCCAGTCAAGAAAATCACACGAGAACTAAGAACATGATAGCTATAGATATTGACGCCACCCGACGAGTATCTGCCAAATATCTCAGCAACTCAGAATTGATAGTGCAATGCAAAAATATCCATCCCATCCCAAGATGGCGGGGCAGAACGGACATCCCAATCAGTCTCATCAAACTCCCAAAAAAAAAAAATCTAACCAACTTCTGGTTCCAATTAAACTTCCACAGAGAAAGGAGTACCATACTATGTAGAATGATTGTCGTTCAACTTGCATCATTCATAAGGATGAAGCCAGAAACCAGAGAATATTGTATTCAAATCAAGTTGCTATTCTGTGCAGTACACTAAAAAAAATTGGATGACAAAAAAAAAAACAGAAAAAAAGAAAAACTTACCCATAAACTAAAGCTACCTAGATAGTAGAATGTACCAAGTATGAGTGAAATTGAACAGATATGAAAAGTCTAGAATCAGATAGAATTCATTTTCAGCCACAGGAAATCTTCAGCTTCAGCTTCATCAATGAAGTCCTCCTTAGTGTCTCAGCAGAGAAGCCGATGGTGAAATCCGAGACATCCGATCGAGAGCAGTCTTTGCCCTGGTCGTTGGATCAATAAATGATGACTTCTTTTATTTTGTATAGTGCATCAAATATTGTCTCCAATCTTTAATGAAGAAAATTTGTTGTCTGGTCATCCATTTTTTTGTTTTTACTTTGAAAATTAAGTGTGCACGTATAACAAAGCATCAATCTCCACCCACCACTACAAAGAATGAACTTTAGAACGCTTGATATATAATGCTTCTAACCACCACAATCCACGTACGCCACTAACTCTATTGATTGGTAAAAGATTATTAAACCTATATGCACACATTCCTTATTTGTGCAACAGAACTCACAGATCCATTGAATAATCGGGTTAATCTTTAATGTAGAACCAGCCAAGGCTAAGAAGTATGTAGAAGAGAGATCAGGCTAGTGGAAATGGAAATAACCAACAAAGCATGAAACATGAAATGCACAACGGAAGACAGAAGAAGAAAACTAAAACCAGCAGGGCAGGTATATAGGTTTGACATATCAGGATGCAATGAAAAGGACATTTAGCTAACGTAACTTTTTATGCCAAGAGCAGGAGTGCAGATCACCTTACCTATACTTAATAAGAAAGATTACTAAGAACGATATGGAAGAAATGCCTACAAAAGTTTGACACAGCAGAAAAAGTGGAAAAATTTTTCTCATTGGACGGTTGCATGGTACAGACAGATAAAAACCTCACCTAACAGCGCAGAAAAAGAAATAATAACTCGCGTCATCGTCCTTGATTTTCCTTCCTAACCTCCCAGTCAAATACATCTGTTATTTAACCTCCCTTTGGAACCCAGGATTCATTAAACACACCAGAAGCTCGTGTGATCAAAGCCCAACCCCATGGGTAAGGTTAAGAGAATCTGCCACCTCGTGTTAAGGTTCTTGGCTTTTGGAGCCACTCTTTCATCGGTCATTGTCATGGCTACTAGCCGCGAGAGAGCTGGCTTTTTCCCTTTCTATCTTGATGCCAAGTACACCAACACACCTGCCTTCAAGTAAGTGTTGTTAATTTTTCTGCAGAATTTATTTGTTACTCAGATTTTTTTTTCCCTCGGGACATGATGAAGCTGATTATTGAGAAGCTTGCTAGGTACTTTGTGATTGCATACTCTGTAGTGACTGTGTATGGATTCTTCGTCATGTTTCTTCCCCCAAAAAGTCTGCTCTGGCGGTTCGTCGTTGCTTTGGATTTGGTAATTTCTGCTCTCAAACTGTCTTCTCCTTTCTTTGCCACCACGCTAAGCATAAAATGCATTATTCAGGAAATTCTCATTAGCTACCAGGCGTGTACTCATCCCCTTGTTCACCCTATAAAAACTTGAACCTGAAAACCAAGATTCGTCGTCAACAAAAGCTACTGAGGAAACGAAACTTGAGACCCTAGTTTTTAGACCAAGTCAATCGTTAATAGACGTGGGCGGGAGAGATATTTTTTCTTTTTTCTTTTTTTTTCCTTGGTGAAAGATATATTTTATCGATACAACAACTAGTATAAATTGAAGTCATGGCCTCACATTTGGGCCTAAGAAATGAATAACACAATGGGCCTAAGTTAGTTTCAATTATCAAGCCCGTTCGTTTGAGGTCTTTCAGTGAAAAAATTACTTATTTTTTAAAAGATAAATTTTGTGAAATTTTATGATAGTTTTTTTAAATTTTTAAAAATAATCAAAATAAAAAAATTATTATTTTGAGAAACTACTTTGAATGACTTCTAAAAATAATCTAATAAAACAAAAATTTCTTATAAAAATGCGAAGATACACAAAAATATTATAAAATTTTAAAATAATTAAATAATAAATTATTTTTTATAAAAATACCTATGAAATATGATAAAAATCTAAAAAAATTAATAATAATCACATTTTTTTATTATTATAACCAAATATAAAATGATTTTTATAAAATCCCCATAAAATGAATCGTTTTTTATAAAATTTTCAAATGATCTAAAACTCACTTATTTTTATAATCTTAAACAAATGGCCCATGGTAGGATGGTGAGATTGAGAATGAGAAGTGAAAGAGGCAAAAACAACAGGCTAATAAATTAATATATATATATATATATATATATATTTGTATGTGGAGCAGGTGTTTACGATGCTGCTGATATCAAGTGAATCGGCAGCAGTGGCAATAGCGTATGTGGGGAAGAAAGGGAACGGATATGCAGGGTGGTTACCGATATGCGGTCAAGTTCAAAGTTACTGTGATCATGTCGCCGGAGCTTTGGTGGCCGGGATTGCCGCTGTCATTATATATTTGGTTCTCCTTTTTTACTCCATTCACACCGTTCTCGACCCTCTTCTTTTGACCAAACACGGAGGTTGTCCTCGTTCTTGATCAACTAGGTTTATTAGATGCAAGAGCTGTTCAAGTTATTTCATTTGTGTTTCTGCGTCCTTTCTTGTAGTCTTGTCTCTTCTTTGACTTCAACCCCTTTCTTGGATTTGAGGGCAGCCTCGTATTCATGTTTTCCCACTTAGGACAGTCCTCTCGAGTATAATTGACTGGAATTAATTAGACACGCATGCGCGCACATACGTATGTGTTTGCTTGTTTTTATTGATTAGAGATTATTATTATTATTATTATCATCTATTGTTTTTAAAAATAAATTAGTCACTTCTATCGAAATGTTGACAGCTCCATGTTATTGTTACAAGCCGCTGATGATTAACTCCTTGCATGTTCTAAGTGTTCAAGATATCTTTTAAAACAAAGACTAAAACTAAAATTTACCCCCCAATTGAAAAATAAAACATAGATAACTTTTTTTTTAAAATTCCATTACTTAGTGCCCTAGAAAACTTGGAGTATTATCATTATTTATTTAGACTAATTCAAATCCTTACTATATTGGGTCGTTATTATCAATGATGACTTTGGGAGTACTTTTGAAATAATGTTTTCATTTTTTTTAATTGTATATCCAAGATTTAAATTCAAAATCTTAAAATAAGTTAATTCAATTCTTTCAACCAGTTAAATTAAATTTTCATCAATAAACCACAAATTACTTTGGCTTACATTTGGATGGCCGGGATTGGATTGGAAATTTAGATATAAAATTTATGAATTCTAAATTTTTTATTTGAATGGTATAAAAAAATTTAAATTATCATATTAAAATTCTTTGTTTGGATCTTAAAAAAATCAAAATTCAAATTTTATGTTTGAATTTGAACACAACTCAGATGACATTAGCGATTTGATCCTAATCTAAGTCGGCAGTCTGATCCTTATTAGGGTTGGCGGCCTAATTTCAATTGACTTTGGTTATCCAAACTTGGATGACATAAGTGGTCCCGTCTTGATCGGTAGTGGCAGTTTGGTCCTAGTTGACATTAATGGTCTAGTTCTAAACAATGCCTATGGATTAGTATGAGATAATGATAATAGTTTGGGGGTTGTAGATTGGTCCTAGATAACAACATCAAAACATTCCTTATTAATAGCAGTGTTTGGCATTGAACAACAAAGGTGGACAAAACAAAGAAAGTGACCACAAACCTGTCCCGCACAACTACGACAATGGTAGACTAACATCGATTAGATACGATAGACCATCATTAAGCTGTAGTTGTGGACTTACACTAGATAATAGTGGTAGATGAGTAGCGAATGACAGTTACAGCAATGACAGATCAGTATTGGATGGCTAAAGGGGTGATTGAGAGTGAATTAAAATTTAAAATTTATAAACCTAATCAATGTCGACAGTTCAATCCTGATCATCGCCAATCATCTAGTATTGGTCGATGATGTTGAATTCAAAAAGGCAATGAAGTTGGCAAAAGGATGCAGAAAAGGAAGAAAGGTGTTTTTATGAAAATTTAAAATAATGGTAGTTTTAAAAAGATTTTAAATTAGGTATAAGATTTGAAAATAGCCAACATATGAGAAAATTAGGACATTTCTTTAAAAAGCGGCTTGAGTCATCTTCAACCTAAATTCATCTACTCTAATGGTTAAAAATCAATATTTAAAAAAAAGTTAAAGTTAAACAATAATATCTTAATGTAAATAATAATAATAACAACAGTAATAATGAAGTCGTGAATTAATGATACCCGACTCCAGCGACTAAAAATCTCTCTCTCTCTCTCTCTAATCCAAGACCAAAGAATTATCATCACCGGGAATCAATTTAGTTTGGCTTCATGAATGATGAAAATATGTTCTTTCACATTTAATTGATAAGATAGAAATAACATATCAATTGAAATGCCCACCATTGTTTTGTTTGTTTTGTTTTTTCAATGCTTAATATTTCTAACGATCTTGTTTTGATTTTTCGATTCTGATATAACAAAAGCAAATCCCATAAAGTTTTTTTTTTTGGTCAGTTCTTACTTTTGTTGGCCACAGCTTCTGTGGTTCGGTTTGAACCCCAATATTTAAAAGAAAAACACGTTTCCATAACAAAGCAAACAAATTGAAAACTGTAGCATTAATTGTTTAATCAACAAGCAACACGGCAATAATCAGTCCCAATACTATTCACCGACGTAACGCCTAAGCAGCCAACTTTCTCTTTCCGTGTAGATCATGGGTTACTCACAGCCACAGCCACAGCCACTGGTTTATAATTAATTTTAATATGTATAATAAATGTTTGAATATATTTTTAAAAATATTATTTTATATTTATAATTGATTTTAACACGTAGGATGAGTGTTTGAATATATTTTTATAAAATTATGATTTTAACCTCTAAAATTGTAAAATGTTATCCAAATAAGTACATACTCTCTACATTTAAAAATATAAGAAGACAATTTTTTTAGCCTAAAATTTTTAAAAAATATAAGATGTTTTAGTTTTTTAATGTATAATTAATAAATTTTTATATATAAATATTTTTAATAAATAAATTGTTCAATTCTTCACCTTTGTGTGAAATGCCTTGTTAAATCAAAATAAATATAAAAATGATATCAAATTAAAGACAAAAATTTAACTTATTAAGCATGTAATTTGATTAAAACTTCTTATATTTTTTGACATAGCGGATATTTTTTATGTTAAAAAATATAAGATATATTTTAAAAATTTGAATATTTTAACACATAAGGTATTTTTAATATTTTGAGACATACTTAATATATTTTTTTAAAAGTATTCATAGTAAATAAATTATTATATATATATATTTTAAAGTGAAACATTTTATTAAATAAAAGTAAATATATGAAGATGGTATTAATAGAAAGATAATTAATTACTTTATTTAAAAATATAATTTAATTAAAATATTTTATATTTTAAAATGGAGAGAGTAAAAATTTGTTTTTTGAACTAGTATCACCAATGCAATTTGATCGACTGAGTTTTGAATTTTGACCAAATAATTTCCACACGTTCACACACACGTTGAACATGCAGAGACCGGTACTGTTTCTTTTGTTTTTGCTCCACCCCTCCCTTTTCCCTAGAGACCTAAAGAATCGAATGAAATTAACACATGGAAACACATTAACAAACATTCTTTCAATTTTTTTTATAAATTATTTCTATTAATTTTATCAATATTCATATAATAAAATATAAAAAATAAGAGTGTATAAAATTTTAAATATATTTTTATATAATAAATTTAAAAAGTGATATTATATTATTTTTCTCTTTCATGAAGGGTATTTTTAGAATCACATTTCAAATATTACTTAAAAAATTATATTGTAACTTATAAATGAGATTAAATAAATTTTTTTAAAACATGTTTTATAAAAAAAATTGGAGGGGGTGCATTCCTTCTAGGTTATATTGAATAAGATGACCATTTATTTAACTTATTATCGTAAAGTCCTTGTCATGTTTTTAATATTTGTAAGCAGGTCGGCACCCAAAATTTAGAGATAAAATTGATTTGTAAAGATGAGAAGATAATTATTCCTTGAAGTTTCTCAATACCAACAAGAGGACAATATGAAAAATACAAATATGACATAACATGGACAGTAACAAAGGCTAGTTTATCATAAGGAGTTCACTTATCGCTCACAAAAACATGAATTTAAATTTATTGGTTAATTGTTAATATATATCAAGATTTTACTGATAAATAATTTATAAATTTATATATATTTTTATAAATATATTTGAATCGTGAGCATATCTTGAACTCTACAATCAACTTATATTAAATTAAATTATTTAAATATGAAAAATTTAATGCGCCAGGATACTTTTTTTTGCATAAGAAACTGTGCAATTCAAACATGTGAGGGAAAAAAAAAATTAATCTCAAGTCTCAACCACACCCAGGGCTGCCATATGTTGAGACATGGTCGGTCCGCATTCTTATCTTTCCCTCCAGACTAAAGCATACTTAATATTAAAATGAATTCTTTTCCTTTTATAAATATATGCGAAACTTAGTTTTGCATACAAGCACAGAGGCCAACGCATTAAAGCGTTCTCTCTCTCTCTCTCTCTCTCTCTCTCTCTAGAGCTACCCAGATTTCTTATCTTCGCAAAGGTTGGATCTTTCGTCGAAGATTTTTCTGCATCGCGAAGCTATCCGGCTATGGCGTCTGGATCGTCTGGTCGCGGTAACTCAGCCTCCAAAGGGTTTGATTTTGCGTCCGATGACATCCTCTGCTCATACGAGGACTATGGTACCCAGGATTCTTCTAATGGTAATCACAGCGATCCGGTCATCAGCACCAATTCTAACAAGGTTTGTATCGATGGGCTCTCTGGGTCGATTTAGGGGTTGACTTTCTGTTATCTTTCCCTCTGGGGGGAAATTTCCGAATTTGGCCACGATACTTTTGCTAGGAACAAGTGGCTAGGGTTTAGGAAATTTGACATCTTTTTAACGAATAATTTGGTAGTGGAAGCAAGTTATTTGATCTTGCTGACTTTCTTGTAATTTTTTTTTCTCCCCCTGTCGTTCATAGATTCTTGCGAATTTGGTTTGTCAATTCTTATTTTTCTGCTGATCATTGGGTTTTATGGGTTTATAGGAACATGTAAAAATAGTAGAAAATTGAAGCGACTTTGGATTTCTATTCTGGTGTAGATATCTACTAGGAAATGAGCCGGATCACTGGTTTTGTCAGACTGGACTTCCAATTTTTGCGGTGGGGAAAAGGAAAAGGGTAGCATACTTGATTAACGCCCCATTTTTGCAATGAATCTAATTGATGAATCAAAATCTATTATCTGTTTGGCTGTGCACTGTATCCAGTGTTATTATTGCCCTGAAGATTTATTTAGTGGATTAGCTTCGAGAGAGTAAGCGCTGACATGCTTAGAGCTATAAAATGTGTGCAGCGAGTTAGCTGTTTTGACCTCAGGGCATTTATCAGCCTGCATAGCTAGTTTGTAAGTGTTTCCCCAACCATGAAAGGGAAAATATCAATTGGCAGTGACTTAAGAAAAAAATGTAAATGAATGTGATGTAACAATAATTGGGTAGGAAAAGGACTGGGGAATTATGATTGGAGGACAGAGTACTTGGAAGCGCTTACTCGTGAAATCCCCCCTTGCATATTGTCTCCCCATTTATTGTTGTCTGGTGCATATCCGACAGTGATATGCCTAGGATATGCCCAAATAAGCATAAAGTATCCTAGGTGTATCAAGCCGAAAAGAATAATAAAGAAATAAAAATAAAAGTTAAAGTCATGCTGCTGTTACTGGAAGGATACAACTGAGATATGGCTTCTGGCTCTACACAACATGATATAACTTGGATTGAAAATTCACTTTTAGTTCTTATGGAATTTGGGTTGAAAATTCTGCTGCACCACTCCTTTGAATCTACAAGTCAATTCAGATCTATATCTGCCTTCTGTTTCAACGTTTGTTTTGATTTCCAAACCGGAAAATGGAATTGATTAAAATATTAGATTGGATATGTCCTTGCCATCAACAGTGCTTGGAGATGATATTGCATTCCCCCTGGCCACTGCAAAATTGCCATCCTTTAGAACATCTGTAATATTAAAAATATCTTGTTTTATTTAATAATGTATCCTTAAAGTGCCCTGTGTTTTTGTTTTCTTGATAGCTGTGCCCTTTTATCTGTAGCATACTGTGTATCTTTGTCTCATAGATCAAATACCATGGTCTTTACCGCATTGATTAGTTACTTATTGATTTACCCCAACCAATGAAGATGATTGGATGTATATTTTGAGCTTGTCGGGACTCTCATATTTGTTGCTTATTGATTGATTAATTAATAATTCTGGCAAAACTATAAAGTTTGGTTTTTTCCTGGATTTCTTTGATTTGGTTGAATCGGGATTTGTTTGTGAACATTGGTCTAGGAGGCTTTATTACATTAATATGCTGGGAGGGCCGTTATATGGTGAAGGCTAGTAGCTGTGGGAAGCCTGATGATAACATGCTTATTTTAGTTGCTTGGAGAAAGATCTCCTTTTCATCAAGAGCGTTCATTTGTCAATACTATATTGTTTGGACCAAGAAGCACCATGAAGCTACGAAGGCTTGTGCTTTTAAGATGTTTGTTGATATTGGATAACAAGTTTTCTGGTCTTCCTAGAAATGTTTTGCTGGTTTTAATATGAATGTTGTTGGCTATTCTTATGCTCATCACCTTTTATACGCACATGTATGGTTTGAGGATTCTGTATCAAATTTACCTAGTATAAAATATACAGCAATTTTAAATTGAGTTCTTGAAATATTTCTTTCAGCCGGATTTTCACAAAACAAGGATGACAAGGACATCAATGTTCCCTGCAACTGCCTATAGCCCACCAGAAGATTCGTTGAGTCAAGATGTGATTGCTATGGTAGAGAAGAGCATGAAAAAATATGCTGACAATCTCATGCGGTTTCTTGAGGGAATTAGTTCAAGGCTATCACAGTTGGAGCTATATTGTTACAATCTTGACAAATCAATTGGAGAAATGCGATCTGATTTAAATCGAAGCAACGTAGAGGCGGAGGCAAAACTTAAATCTCTTGACAAACACCTTCAAGAAGTAAGTTACATCTTTAATGGATAGTATCCATTTATTTAGTTCCCGTTTTTGTTCCATCTATTTAGTTATTACCATCATCCTTTTGCATACTGGGATACGGGCAAATTTTTACAATAACACAAGGACATTTACCCCTCAATCTGAAAACTTCCTTTTTCATTTTTCAGTCCCAGTTGTTGTCTGACTCTCATTCTCAGCTTGGTCCTGGATTGAGACTTGTAACCTATAAATCTTTGCTAGATTGCCATATTTCTCACATCAAGATATTCATATGCAAACTATATTTAACTTGGTGTTGTTAAATGAAGAATCATTCAATTGTTTGAATTTTATGTTTTCTTGTTGCCACAGTGCACTTCCAACCTATGGAAACTTTAATTTTCAGGCAGGGCGCAATCTGCTTAGACACAACCATTGAACTCCCTCATCCGTTCTATTTTTTTTTTTTTTACTAATGCATGTGTATTTTGACTTGCGGACCTGTATTGCGTGTTTTTATCCTTATTTTTCTAGTTGTTGTTTGTGTAGGTCCACAGGTCTGTACAAATTTTAAGAGACAAGCAAGAGCTGGCTGACACTCAGAAAGAACTAGCCAAGCTTCAACTTGTTCAGAAAGAATCATCTTCCTCAAGCCATACGCAGTCCAATGAGGAGAGATCTTCCCCTTCTGCCAGAGATCCCAAGAAAACTGATAATGCATCTGATACTCACAATCAACAGTTAGCTCTTGCCCTGCCCCATCAAGTGGCTCCACAGCAGCAGCCTATGGCACCCCCCTCTCAAGCTCCAGCCCCAAATGTGACCCAAGCTGCACAACAGCCTCCATATTACATGGCCCCCACCCAGGTACCCAATCCACAAGCTGTGTCTCAGCTTCCCCAGAACCAGTATTTGTCTTCTGATCCACCGTATCGATCACCCCAACTACCTTCTCAAGTAACTCAGACACAGCCTGTTCAACAGTATCCTCCTCAGTATCAGCAACCACCACCGCCAGCACCGCAGCAGCAGCAGCAGCAATGGTCTCAGCAGTTACCTCAGCAGGTACAGCCTCCGCAACCGCCATCCATGCAACCACAGATGAGGCCACCCTCTTCAGTTTATCCTTCTTATGCTCCGAGTCAAGCTACGAATCAATCTCCCCCTGAAACACTGCCCAACAGCATGCCAATGCAAATGCCCTATTCAGGGATTCCACCACCAGGATCTAGCCGCGCTGATACCATGTCCTATGGATATGGTGGTGGTAGAACTGTCCCACAGCAACCGCCATCCCAACAAATGAAGGGCTCATTTCCAGCACCACCAGGCGATGCATATGGAACCACCGGGACTCACCCTGCACTCCCTCCTGCTGCTGGATATATGATGTATGATGGTGAGGGAGGAAGAAGACATCCATCCCAACCTCATCATTTTGCTCAATCTGGGTATCCTCCATCCAGCGCTTCCCTTCAGAACCCCACTGGTCACAATCTCATGGTCCGGAGTCCTAGTCCATCACAATTCGTTCGCAACCATCCCTACAACGAACTGGTAGAGAAAATGGTGAGCATGGGTTTTAGAGGTGACCATGTGGCAAGTGTGATTCAGAGGATGGAGGAGACCGGGCAGCCTATAGATTTTAACTCGGTGCTTGACCGTTTGAACTTGCATGGCTCTGTGGTGCCCCAGAGAGGATGGTCTGGATAAAGTTGTGTTTGTATTCGGGGACGCCCCGCTTGAACAACGCTTATATGTTGTCGAGGGTGTTCTGTTCACATTTCAGAGACTCAAAAACCATTGCGCTTTTTATTATGCATGGAATAAAAATCTGTGTAATGTCTGTCGTATGTAAAATGATATGCGGATTATATATGTCTGTCTGGGGCTTCTGTACTTGTTATCTTTCACCAACAGTCAAATATTTGGCTGTCATAAGAGGAGGCTTAACTGAGGAGCCAGATAAGAGTTTGTCATATTCGTCTGGTTGCAACTTACATAATCATAGTTATTTGTTCTTATATTCTGTCAAATGTTTAGGAAGTTCCAGGAAATGTATAGTTTTTGTAAGTTCTGTAATTATTTAACTGGTGTCTGGTCAAAAATAAAAAAAAAATTCGGTTAACGTGAATCACGATTCTATTAGGGCCTGCTTGATTTATAATATAAACTTATATAAATAGAATGGAAGAGTATTAATTTTTAATTAAGACATTATCTGGCTGTTGGATCTTTTGATATTTTTTTATTTTTTGGTAAAATCTTTTCATATGATTTAATCTTTTGATTTTTTTGTTCAATCTTATGGCAAGATTCATCATTCATTCTTTGACGTGTGGGTCCATAGGTCATTACCAATGATAGCTTTCCACGGTATGATGGCACGATGCCTCAATTTTTCATGTCTAACCAATGGGAGTAAGGTTGAGTGATAAGTGACTTAGTTTTACTTAAATAAAGTCTTAAGTTGAAGCTTTTTGTATGCAGAAAAGTGCTGCTGGGAGCACCATAATTAGGTGCACAACCAAAAAAAAAAAAAGAAAAAAGAAAAAATCATGTCTAAGCCATAATATGTATGATTATTTTATTTTTCATATCTTGCAACTTGCACTACCACATTCTCATTATTTTTCCTAAATTGTTGCAACAAGTGGTCTCTCGCGTATATGTCAATCTCTAAAGATTATTTGGTCTCCATGTAATACCCTCTTCAATTTCTACTGTGAAAACTGCGAAAAATGAACAAATAAGTAAATTAATTGGAAAAAAAGACTATTCAAAATTTGCAATTTTTCTTCCACAAGATGCATTTTATCTTTCATGATTGTGCACCTTTTCTTCTATATTCTGCAAGTTAGGTTTCTTTTATCTAATTAATTTGTTTAATAGGCCATCTTATCCAATTTTTTCAATACAATTCGGCCGTTGGACTTGGAGTTGTTTCCTTCTTCTTCTTCTTTTTTTTTGTCTTCGTGACAAGCCATTCATTGGCCCACCTGTAATGTAATTGGACTTGCGTTCTGAATTGTGCATGCGGATTCATTTCGTCATGGGCTGCCTCCAATTAATGCCCCAAATCATTGACCCTCTGCATAAAAAAATAGAGTGGGTTTGTGATTGAAATAAATACAAAATAAATAAATACTACCATATTTCTCTGTCTTCATTTTTGCTTCTTTTCCACGAGTAGAAGAATGGAAAGAAGGCTATTGTATCAAAAACAAAAACAAAAAGAAAATGAAAGAAGGCAAGTAAAGACTAAAAGTTAAAATGCAGATACCAATTATACACAATAAATCATAATTGACGATAAAAATTAATTACCATGATGTGTGTAATTATTCCATCAATTAAGTTTATCTTAGTCCTGAAGTTTATATTATAAAAAAGATAGTATATTTAGTAACTTAATCGTACTATTATGGTTTCCAATGGCCTCCACCATTGAAATTTTTTTATGTGGCATTCAGCAACTTGCGTGCCGTTTGGAAATGAAAACCTGTGAAATGTCTATTTGGACAAGCAATTTCTAAATGTGATAAGTTAGGCGTCGTTAGATTATAAAAATGGATCGATATTAAAGGATCCTTTAGGCCTTGTTTGCTTACAAAAAAAGAATGTAATGAAATTGATTGAAAAATAAAGTAAAAATAAGATAACTAAATAGAATAGGTGAACACATTCATAAGGAGGAGGGGTAATTTAATTTTTAAGGTTGTAAATTATGATTCATGATATTTTTAGAGAATGTGATGATTCTTACATTTACAATATATATTAATAAATTTTATCATGCTTATTATAGAGGGAATGTTCATTTTTTTTAATAACTAAATGAAACCTTATTCTTTTACCCATTCAAAATAATTAGTTTATGTCCAAAATGTAAATACATTTGGCAACCAAAAAAAAAAAGGGATTATGCTGCAATTAGTCTCACTTGTTAAGGCAAGTTATCTCAAAGGAAGGTTGTTATTCTATCCCGATTCGATAAACAAATGAATATGCCCTCTTATCGGTACATGAGTGTGTGAAAAAAGGGGGGGAAGAAGAGGAGGAGGAAATGAAGAGTGGAAGGACTTGGGAATGGATGATTAGGGGAAGGGGCGCCTAATGAAATAACGGTTAGGGATGAGGGTTCGGTAAAGGGGGCCCACAGATCAGAGGAAGAGCCTGAGACGATGCCGTTTACTCTGCTGTCCGCGCACGCGCGTACTAGCGTGCCCGCGGCGCTGCAGCCTGCTTCCGTACTTGCTTTTTTTTGTAACGTATTAATTGACAATAGATTTCGCCAGTGCGATGCACGTGATATTAGATGAGAAAAAGAGTGAAATATTTTAAGAAGTTTGATTTTTTTGTGTTAAAGTTTTTTTTAAATAATTAAAATTGATTATTTTGCTTCTTATTTCTATTTTTTAAATTCAATCAATTTAAAAAAGTCTAACCCCACTTTTTAACATTTAAAATAAAGTCTGAAATTTTTTTTCCAAGTTATAACTCTACAACAATAATAGTGTTATAAGTTGCAAAATATAATTTAAGTTGTAAGTTTTTTTCAAGTTATAAGTGGCAAAATAGTTAAGGAGTTACGAAATACAAATATTCCTTTATTTTTAAGTTTTTGTTTTTATTCATCCAACTATTAGTTCACATCTAAGTTATTTATGTTAAATTAGAATATCATTCTTGATATATTTTTTTAAATTTTTTTATTGATATTTTAAATTTGTTAGTCATATAATATTTAAAAAATTAAATACATATTCCATCATTTTAAAATATATGACATTTTTAATCGAATCTCATCTTAATAAAGTAATTATTGGTTTTCAAATTAATACTATCTTTTCATATTTACTATTCAATATGATATTTTACTTTAAAATAAATATAAAATAATTTATTTATTGGGATAAATTTAAAAAAAGCAATAATGATAGTTTAAAACTCTAAAAATGTTTCATATATTTTTTAACATCCAACCCATGAGAAATAACTTCTGAAAAAGGCTTTATATTTTTTAATGAAAAGAGTAAGTTTGTTAAAATAATATTTCAAACATGTATGTGCAGAAAAAAACTTAATAAACTAAGAGATAAATGAGTCAATATAATTTATGTTTATTTTATTTAAATTTTATAATTTTGATAAGATATTTTTGAATTATTGTCATACTTAATTGTTAAATTTTGTTCGGCCAAAAATTGTTTGAAGTTCCTTAAATTAGGAAGCGAAGGGATAGACAGATAGATTATAAGGGTAATTTAATAATTTAAATTTTGTTAACATAAATATAAATAAAAAATTAAAATATTTTAGAATATTTAACATAATATTCCTAATTACATTTTTTTGGGTTGAAATTTCTAACTGCATTAGAAATGAAACTAAAGTGCAAGTTTTTTTTTTAAAAAAGTATTTATAATTCTAACAAAATAAAAGGACGTCAGTGTATTTTATCTATAATTTATTATTTTGTGCAAATTAAAATTTAAAGAATATTTATTTTAAAATTTTTTATATTCATACATATTAATAATATAAATAATAACTTATTTTATTTTAAAATGTATTATCCTGTGTAAATTAAAATTTAAGGAGCAACTTTTTTTTTTCCCCAGGATATCCTTGCAACTAGCTAGAATAAGACTAAAATTTTAACACGAGAACATCTATAAGAAATGACTTTTATTTTGTAATATGTTACTCTTATACATATTAAAAAATATCAATATTTTTAAAAATTTCTTAACTCTCACAATTTAAAATATAATCTAGCTTATTCTTTTTTTTTAAATTTGTTACCCATGTATCATCTTTAAAAAAAATAAAACATATACTCTAATGAATCCTACTGCAATTCATGTTATAATATTTTTTATAAATTATAATTATAATAGTTGTAAATCAAGCAAATAATATAATCCATATTATAATATCATTTATCAATTATATGTATAAGCATTACAAGTAATATAATAATTATTAATAAAAGATTAAGTATATAGTATAAGATAAATTCATTAATATTATAAATTATTATGAAAACCATCATTTTTTTTCTCAGACTTATAGCACGTAACTATATGAATGTTTTCATAGATTTTCAAACAATACTTAACTTTTACATATAAATAATAGAATAATATATTTTTATACCTTTTGTATTTGATAAATATGAACAAAAACTTATTCTATATATTTTCGCGCAAACTATCTTATGATCTGTTGCCCATGTTAGTAATAAGCCTATAGTAAATTCTTTCTATCTAAATTGTGTTATTTTTATACAAATTTCATTACATGTCTAATATATATTTTTTTTACTAAAAATCTTATATCCACTTCTAATTTTTATTATGGATCCTACGTGATTTTTTAAAATATAAAAATTTTATTATTTTTTACACCTTGTCTAAAATTTTCACATTTTTCAAATGAAAATTTTATGTGGCAAATATTTGTCATCCTATGTGACTAAATTTTAATAATTAAATTGCAGGTTCCACAACCATTTTTTGTACCATTGGTAAATTTTATGCACATCTAATACATATTATTTTTATTAAAAATTTTATAATCATCACTAATTTTTACTATAAATTCTACATAATCAAATTCAAAATATAAAAATATTACTAAAATTTTTTATGCACCGTCTAAATTTTTAACATCAATAAGTGTAGGTCCCACACTCATATTTTTTTAGTGGTAGATCACACATTCACTTTTTTACCATGAGTCTACAACTATATATATATATATATATATATTAAAAAATCATCCATTAACTAATTTTAAAAAATTAATTTTGTAAATTAATTATTAATTTAATTTTATTAGTTAAATCATAGGCCCACACCCACTTTTTTATGGTTAGTAATTTTTTTACATATCTGACATTTATTATTTTTACTAAAAATCTTATATTCATCATTAATTTTTACTTAATACAAGTTTCACACTCACATTTTTTTTATGATAAGTCCTACACTTACTTTTTAATCATAGGTTCCACAAT